CCTAGGCAGGAATATTCTTGAGGCGAAAACTGTAGAACTCTTGGACTAGTGTTATTAAAGTGGTGGTGAGAGGCCTGTGCAGCCACAGGGCCTGTGATGTGTCTCCTGTGTGTCTTTCACTCCTATGCAGTTTGAGTTCATGATCGAGTCCATCCTGTATGCCCGGGATGCCTGGCTGAAGGAGGACGGGGTCATTTGGCCCACCATGGCCGCATTGCACCTTGTGCCCTGCAGTGCTGATAAGGACTATCGTAGCAAGGTGCTCTTCTGGGACAACGCGTACGAGTTCAACCTCAGCGCTCTCAAGTAAGTGTCCACAGCTAGGACTGGCACTGTCTTGTGGGGCCTCCTGGTCCACAGTCTGCAGGTGGGCCAAGGCCCTGGGAGATCACACACTATGGTCGGATAAATGAGGGTACCTGTGCACCCAGATAGGACAATCTGTTATAGCATTGGAGTAATTAAAACAGTATGGTGCTATAACAAGAAAAGACAGATGAGCAGAGCAGGGTAGAATGCAAGGAACAAAAATTTTTTTCGTATGTGAAAAAGGTTGCATTACAATTAGGAGGGAGTGAGGGCCGAGTCAGCAAATTATTCTGGAGCAGTTGATTAGCTCTTGTTCTCTCACGCCATACGGAAAACTTAATTCTGCATGGAATCAACGTCAACGACAGACATCCATGGGGGCCTGTGTGCACCATCTTAGGTGGAGAAATGAGCAGCAACAATGAATGGAATGGACCCTGTGCTAGATAGAATCTGGCAGTCTATGTGGTAGAAATCAGCAGAAATGCGACTGTGAAAGCAAACAAGTAATTAGAGAAATCATGTACTAACAGGTCTTGGAATCAATTAGAAAGAGATGACTAGCCAGATGGAATTACAGCCCAATCACGTGAACAGGCAAACTACAAAAAATAAAATTACCAATAAATATATGAAAAATTATAATGTTGTTAGTAGTTAAAATGCAAATTAGAATACATGCTGTTTTCCCTACCCGACAAGCAAAGAGTAAATTAAAGTAGTAGCCTGGGCTTGCCTGGCAGTGGCAGGGAGGTGTGGCTGCCGGGGCCTTAGAGGTTGGCATCAGGCCGCCCACCCCAGTCACTGCCAGAGCCTCCCACCTGAGTGTTCCTCCTGGCCCTGGAAGTCAGTGGCCATCCAGAGGAACGTGGTTGAATTGCTGTATATCCGTCTGGTGGAGCACTACGGTACAGCTGCTGAAAAAGAAACCATAGGTTTTTAGGGATGTGTAATGATATTTAGAAAGGGTTTAAGAGACAGTAAAGCTTGGCAGAATAAACCATGTATACAGAATGGGTGTTAATTTGCATAAATAAATTTATATAAATATGTCTGGGGGATAAAAATATCACAATGCTAAGACAAGCATATGGGGAATTTAAACTTTTCTTTGTACTTGTCCATTTTTTCCAATTTTTAAATTCGTAATTTTTTATCAGAAAAATAATCAGAAATATGTAAATATAGTGAAATCTTTATTAAAACATTCACTTTTATTTGCTATTTCAGAAGTTACTGCTTTGCTTATTTTTTAAAACATTTCTGTGGTAAATAATAGGTGACTTACTGACAAGCCCAGTGCAACCAGTGATGGGGGTTGGCAAACGGTGACACACAGGGGGCCATGTGGCATCTAGTGTCTGTTTCTGTGTTGAATTTGTGTAACAACAAAGGAAGTATTTCTCCTGAAACTCGGACTCACTCAGGCCACCTCAGCTCTTCTAGTTCCTTAACGTTTATTATAGAGTAACCTACAGCAGGAATACCGCTTTCATTTACTGTTAATAGAAAATCCACAAAAGATATTTTGAAATCAAATAGATTCTAAAACTAGGCAAGACACGCTGCAACTCCCCTTGTCCTCTAGGTTATGAGGGGTGAGCGTTGGTTTCCATGTGCTCAGATCCCATGAATGAGACGTCACAGGGAAGCGCCCAGTGACTCGCAGGCTCCTGAATGCCTCCAGGTCAGGCTCGGGAAGGCTCTGGATGCCTGGGTAGGGTCTGGGTCCTCTCAGAGGGGGAGGCACCCAGGGCCTCTGGAGGCCTGAGGGCTGCTCTGGGGGTCCAGGGCCCCAGACGGTGGCTTAGCATCCTGGTGACACAGAAGAGAAAGCACTCACCGCGGTCTCACGTGTGTGTTTTGAAGCCTGAGATGTTTGCAATGACTCTCAACAGTTGCTTTGACCTTTTCCCCTAGATCTTTAGCAATTAAGGAGTTTTTTTCAAAGCCCAAGTATAACCACATTTTGAAACCAGAAGACTGTCTCTCTGAACCGTGCACTATATTGCAGTTGGACATGAGAACCGTGCAAATTTCTGATTTAGAGGTGAGAAAAAGATGAATTGCTCCTTACATTAGATAATCAGTGACCATGAAACAGACCAGAGTATCATAAACCTTCAGTGAGCGCTGGGGGTGTGAGCAACTAATTATTTTATTATACAAATAAGTGAATTTATAAAACGTTTGCTACTGATTTTTTCCAGTCTTTTTTCTTCTTTACGTTCTATTTTGATTCATATTGTACATCATTTTCTTTATAGATGTCTCTAGCGTCTTCATTTTAGATTTATGTTTAATATTCTCAGCATCTTCAAAATCAAATAAATTATATTTCGTTTCATTATGGTATTTGCATTACAGTTTTTTTTCACGTGTTTTTAGCCACCCTTCATGACAGAATTGTTAAAATTCCCTCCACGAATCCCTGTCTGTGGCCGCGCGGTGGCGCTCGTGGGCTCTGGGCGGGTTTCCCCGCGCCCCGCCCCGCCTGGCGCCCTGGTTGGCGCCGCGTCTGGAGATGGGGTGGGCGGCGCGGGCGCAGCTGTGGTTTTTAGTTCGTCCTGCGTGGAAACGCCCAGCCTGGAGCTCCCCAACGCCTTAGCCTGAAGAGCTGAGCGCCGAAAAGCTTCCGCAGGAATCGGGGGCAGAAAACTGGGCGCAAGAAGCTCAGATTGCTTGACACGTTTCTGACCGAAGCGTCTGAACTCGTGATGCGGGTTTTGGGGGTGGTTTCCCAGGGCGGGGGCTTTTCTGCGGTTCCTGA